GGATTTTCAAGGGTGGGGTGGGGGGCAAACTGGGTCCCTTTTGGGGTTTTTTTTGCAGAGGGGCCCGGTTTTCCCCAGGGTTTTTTGGCCCCTTTTTTAGGGCCAAAGGGACCCAAAATTTGCCCGGGGGGACGGAGGGAAAAGGTCCCCCCCTTCCGTTTGGCCGGGGGGGATCCCAAACGTTGCTTCCCCCCCCCGGGTTTTTTGACCGGGTCGTTTTGGTTTTTTGTTTACCCCAAGGGGTCCCCGGTTTTTCCCACCCCCCCGGGGGTTTTTTTGTTAATTTTTTCCCCCCCCCCCCCCCCCCGGTACTCTTCTTCAATTTGCCATTCAATCTCATTTGGAATACCCCATGCCTCCATTCGGCGATTTGCAGTCACCAGGCGAAAAAGGTTTGGGATGCTCCTGCCCACACCCACACTCTCTTGTGTTGTACTGGTGCTCTTTTTCTTCAGGCAGATCTTGGGGCCATCGACCCGATAGTTGCGACGGTGGTCTCCACGGAGTACGTCTTCCAGCTGGGATTCATGCTCGTTGTTCCCGTCCTGCTGGTGAGCGAAGGCAGACGTGGTTTTCGTCAACTATGTGTTGTTGTTGTTGTTGTTGTTGCTGCTGCTGTTGCTGGTGGCTTTGGTGATGATGTATTGAAACCGAAAACCGTGTTGTAGTGACCCGTGCGTCCAGAACGCACTGTGTTCTTCTACCAAGGTGCCCAATGATGAACGACCTTATGCGACGTGCTTTGTTCAGCTGGAATGGGCACCCGTGTTTTCCTCTCTCGCCCTCGTTCGGTGTGGTGCAGGTTATGTCTTGGTCGCAGCACACAGTAACATCATGTTGACCTAGTTATACCCTTGCACTGATGCTTTGTTGGCACATACACAGGTGATGGCGGTGGAGAGCGGGCTGTCAAGGGCGATTCGCAAGTTCGTGGAGATCATCCTGCGAGGCAGCGTCCTGTTCTTCATCTTCCTTTCCGCCACCAATGCCTACTGTAAGACTCGCCGCGCACATCGTCAAAAAAAGTTGACCTCTCCTCTTGTACACCGGCAACATTTAACCTACGGCACTCTCGTCCCCCCCCCCCCCCGTTAAGCTGGAGGCTTGGCCTGGTTGGGTTCCTGCTTGCGTTCTTGTTGCTCATGCTTTTTTGTATGATATGTAGCGTTCTCTTTTCCTTTCCGGGAAGAACTACGCAAGCAAGAATGTGCACATCTTTGGAGGCGTAGTTTTACAATTTTCTGCTTTTAGTGGCTGCTCCATGACGCTCTTCCAGATTTTGATCCCCTCCTTGATCGATGGGTGGGAGTCCTCGGTTTCAGCCTGGCCCCCCCCCCCCCCCCCTCCCCCCTCCCCCCGGCGGGATGTAAATAGTTGCTTTCCTCCATTCTATGCTGAGCATGACATCGTCACATCACACGCACGTCATCGCACTCGCGCGAGAGACACGATCTGCTTCCTCTCTTCCCGGTCTTGGGGGTTGATTGACTCCCGTAGGTGGCATACGAAGTACTACAAGATATCGCACCCCCTGGGCCAATTTTCAAAGCTCGATTTCTCCACCACGAAGAAGATACATGTATGAGACGATCAAACTTCGGAAGGCTCTCCACGAGAGATGGTCCCAACGCTGTCATTGTCGGCACCGTCTCTCTCCTTTTGCTGTGGAGTGCTCGAGCTTCGAAGATCGGTCCAGATGGTGTGCTATCTCATGTCACCTGCGGTACCCCCACCGCCTCCTTCTCACACGGACGTCATCGCATTCGCACAAGAGACACTGTCTGCTTCCTCTTCTCTCGATCTTAGGGCCGATTGATTACCCCCAGTGCCTCCCTCTGTCCTGCGCATTCCACATACTGGCTAGGATCCTCTTCGTGAGGGTTTTATTAGAGAGGGGTTTGCCTTATACCTTGTACTAACCCCCAACCCCACCTCGTACCCCCCACGAAAACCAAGCTTAACATTTTCGCAAAGGCTACTGATTGGCTACCCCCCCGGTTCTCTGGCGTGTTTTTGGGTGTGACTGCTGCTGTATCAGACGTGAACAAGGCGTTCTTGACGGGGGAGGCGAAGTACATGTCGACCGGGAGGGGCTTCGTCATCGTGCACGACCGTTTCCTGTCGCAGTACTGCCGCTACCTCCAGAGCCACTTCGCGCCGGCCTTCGAGATAATGCTCCTGCTCATAGTAAGCATGCGTTTGTTGTTGACAATGCTCCTGCTCCTCGTAAGCTGTTTTGTGTTGGTGATGGTGTTGTTCACTGCCATGTTTTCGTGTTGATGCTGGTGCTGTTCACTCCCTTCAGCTTTTCTCACTCGGCGTGGAAATGAATGAGCGATATGACCCGACCGGCAATGGCTTTAGGAGCGATGTTCTCTTACACAACGACTCGATGACGTCACCTGCATGTTTTGATGGAGTTTCACCTCTCCTCGCAGTTTGTGACTGACCCCTTTGTCGCGTTGCTGTGCCCTGTTCTTCTTCATGCTGCTGGAAATTAAGGTATACTGGCATTTCGGGTCCAAGCAGACGGGCTTCCAGTACTTGGCCGAGACCTTTTCCGTCTGGCTGCTGGTGAGGGCCTGCGTGGTAGCCGGCTGCTTTGTGCTATCTTGTTTTTTTGGTCGCGTCTGTGTCTACTGCTGTCGATACTTTCGGTGTTCTTTCGATTAGTGGCATTGGCGGTATGCATATGTTGACCCTTTTCTTGTCCCAACACCACAGTGGCGCCAGCCACCTGTTGGTGCTGACGCCGTTCCCTCGGCGAAGATACAGTCGGCATTTGCCAAAGGTGATTGATCGAATTGTTCTGCGGTCGATCCCTACGAACGGATCGGCCTCTTCTCGTAACGAACCGCTAGCAGACTTGGAAGCGGGCACACCAGTCGACCAACAACATTGTGGTAGAACCGCCTCTCGTGGTTTTTCCTCCCTCACAGCTCTCCATCCTTCGAGGCATGCCCCGTGAACGATGATGGTCCCGGTACTCTCAAAAGAGTTGTGTTGATACCGCCGCTAAATTTACGCACGTTTATACATATAGGTGGTGGCGTGGCTTTGGTCGCCGGTGATCTTTAACCCCAACGGCGTGGAGTGGCTGGACGTGATCAAGGACTTCGACGGATGGCTGTCGTGGATGATGGCCGGGGATGACGACCCGGACAAGAGCTGGCACGCCTGGTGGATCCAGCAGAACGCCGTGAGAACTATTCCCAGTCAATTTTTTATATATTTATTGTTGGGTGCTTCTGAACGGAAAAGGGACGGGGAAGTCATTTCGCTTCCTGTATGGTGTTTTGGTGTGGGTGAAATAAATGGAACACTCCCCCGGTTCGGTCGAGGGGGATTCGATGCTGCACATGTCAATGATCTTCTGTTGCGTGTCCTTGGACGATGTTATCGATGGCATTTGTTTTTTGGATTGACTACAAGACAAGTGCTGGCGCGCCTGGCGAATCGAACAGAACGATGCCGGCAGATTGTTGGATTTCCATGCTCTGCAGAAGTGGTGCTTGTGTGTTTGTGATACTGTGCCCGTGACGTGGGGGTTGGACGATACAACGGGCACTGGCAACAGAAACATAAGACAGGATGTGGTGACAGAATTCCTTCCTAAATCGCTGTTTTCCGCCGGCACACCCACTGCTGTGACACGCAGCGCCTCAGGTCTCCTTTCACTACGTGCTGCGCTACGCTTGAATTAGCGCCACATTCATCTTCTGATATCTCCCTCCGACCCGACGTCCCCTGTTCTGTTTTATGCACTGACGTGTCTGTGATGCTAATAGGAGCTAGCTGACGTCATGTTCCGGAAGAAGGTGGTGCTGTTCGTGTGGAGATGCCGCTTCTTGGTGCTCGTGTGGGGGTTCGTGACGTCCATCAAGCTTTCCAGGTGCCGGTAGAGAGCTGTTACAGGTCTTCGCAACACCTTCAGCCGAAAACCCCGCACTGCTGCACCCCGTATGGGTGTTGGGTAAGGGAAGCATGTCATACTCGGTTTTGCCGCTGGCCCAAACAAAGCCATGACCGCGTGTACAAGGAGAAAGGCATGGGCGATACGTGTTGTTCAAGCTCATTATCTCGAGTCGAATCAATGCCACGCGAGTCCTTGCTCCTCAGTCAAATCTTTCTTGGCGCCTCCTCTCTTTTTTTTTGTTCGTTGTTGCACCGCGAACACTCCAGGGTGGAGAAGGAAATGAGTGTGCCCGAGATCCGGTGGCTGCTGCTGGGTGTCGTGTTTGCGGTTCTCGTCATCATAGTCTGGCAGGGCGTCGCCGGCGTCCGCACGCGCACATCCGGAGCGGGAGGAAGGTGTGTGTGTGTGTGTGCGTGCGTGCGTGAACTGCTTGCCTCTCAGATGCTGTTTGCCGACTCCAGCTGTATGTTGGCGCGCACGATAACCGGTAGAATAGAGAGGACGCTATCGCCACCGCCGCCGCCGCCGCCGCCGCCGCTGCTTCTGTTATTTGAGACTCTGCGTCACACTCGAGGGAGGGAAGTCCCGAAGTATTATTTGCTGCGTATAGCGGGTAGATTGTGAGCGCGGTCATTGTGGAAGAATTCGAGGTGCCGCGCTGTGTCAGCCGAAAAGGCGACCTAAACGTGAGCACACCGAATTTGTTGGGAACAAACATTGTTTCCCTCCAAAAATGATGCATTTTGTATTGGGATGTCCGCCTCGCGAGCGACTCGGAATCACTTACTCGAAAAAATGTTGCACCTGTCATCGAAGCGTATGCGGATTACCCATTTGCTTCGTTAGGGTAGAGGTTTGTTTCTTTGTTTTTTTGTCACTGGAGCAAGATTCGCACAAACATGAGCAAGGTTAGCAATGAACTCGTCTCGGGAGAATCTTGCGCCAAACCTCTGACCTCGACGAATCTTGCTCCGATTTTCGCGCTACAATGACAATATTCGAATCTAGACCCTTTATCATGACATACTTATAGGTGATCTACATATACCGTAGTGACAGCTGCAGCCAACCCGAAGGCTGATGATTTTCGCATGAAATGATGTCTACTGCTGTATCTGGGAGCGTCAGGTGGAACGTGTTGCGTGTACCCCCTTTCTCTTTCTTTATTCGATGATTGTTTTTAGCGTGCAAGCCTTGCTTCACCTCGTGCAGGCATATCACCACCCAAAACCTGTCACCGTCTTGTCTTAGGTGCTTTCGTTCGTGCCCCATCCTAACTCCTCCCCCCCCTTTGCCTTTCGCAGCACCTCTGGGCGTCTGTTGGGCCTCCTGGTGTCGATGGCGTTAGCCTCGGCCATGCTCTTTCTGCCGGTCTTCAACATCGTGGCGTTCGAGCAGATGCTATACTTCGCCGGTGAGAAATTCAAAACATTGTTTTTTCTCCTCGCACGCACAGCCTACCACTTTTTTACAGATATCTATGTGTATGCTTCACTGCTTGTATCCTCTCTCTTCTTGTTGATTTCGCGTTGCCGTGCCTTGTTTGGTTCCGTTCACCTTGCATTTTCCAGGGCAGCATATACCCTGCCGATGACGGGTCGCTCCCCCCCGCATGCGGTAGCGTGCGTGCACTTGTACGTGAAAATATGTTGTCTTGCACGTTTGCCTGCCGCTTCCGGGGACGTCATTTTCGTGCATCATAGCTTGCTTGTGCGGACCTCCGGGGTCTCATATTCTTGCGATCAGCGAAACCAATCGTCCGGAAAAAAACCTCGAAATCTGAAAATTGAAATATAAAATCGAACATGATTAATCGATTGTCGAAAATGAAGATCGAAAATCGAAAATTGAACATTAAAATATCTGACTAACTAAAAAGAACGATTAGGAAAACTGAAGATCGAAGACCAAGAATCTGAAAATGGACAGTCTAAAGATGAAGCTCACCAAAAAATGAAAGCCGAAACCGAAATCTCAACCAGGAGTTCGTCCTTAAACTCGTGCGACCAGGTGCCGTCGGGTTCCTGTTGTACTTCTTGGTGGTGCAGGCCAGCCTGTCGTCGAGGGTAGTCGGGGGGGGCAACGTGCACAAGGCGGTGGACGGGGCGGGGAACAACATCGTCTGGACCACGTACAGGGCGGTGCACCTGACGATCGGGCTGGTGATCATGATCCCGACCCTGCTGGTGGCGTTCTTCCCCTTCATGACCCACTTCCAGGTGCATACACTTCCGTATGCCCGTCCGTCTATCCTTCCGTTTGTCGTCCGTGCGTCGTGTTTATCGTACCTAGTTGTTTTGCGAGAACTTGCAGTTGTTGTTGTTGTTGTTGTTGTTGTTGTTGTTGTTGCTTCCTCCATGCAGTCGACTGGTATTCTGCTGTTGCTGATAACTCCCCCATTCATTCCCCCGACATTCAAATGAAAGTATGCTCGTACATTCTCCATAATCAGGAATATACGTGCGTCCAATTTCCTTCACAACTGCACTGTTCATAATAACGTCAGTCCCCCCACCCGCTTCGCCGCCTATGTCAACTCGGTGCGCTGCTGCCCCTTCCACCACAACGACAGACCCGCATGATGTTCAACCAGAACTTCAGCGCCAGATTTACCTCCGCCAAGCTGTTCGCCACCGAGAGAGAGAGGCAGCAGGCGCGGGGCTGGATAGCTGGGGACGAGCAGAAACGGGGGGGAGGAGGGGGCAGCAAGGGGGAGGACGGCGGCGGGAGCAAAAGCCCCCCGCCCCTGGAAGAATCATCCGGGAAGGGGAGGCGAGACAGTCACCATTCGGGGTCACCACCGCCGCCGCAACCCCCGCCGCGCCGCGGCGGGCATGGGGAGGGCAGGGGTGCAGTAGGTTCGGCTTTGCCGCCGGTGCGCTCTGCCGCGCGCCACGACGCCGGCCGGAATTCCAGGACTAAGGCAGCATGAAAACGCAGTGTGCGGATCAGCGGTTCTGACTGTGACCGGGGGCACGCGTGAATGCGGGAGTCAGGGCGTGCGGTGTCCACCCTTTGCAATTGACTTTCGGAGCGGCGGACTGCGATGATCACTCCCGATAGCTCGACGTCTACAAGGATCCGCTTAGTTGGAGTGAGACCTCTCCCGAAAGCAGAGTTTATTCGCAGATGCTCTTCGACTTAGTTTAGGGCGTTTTTTGGGTTGGGATGGACCTGACCAATCGATTCCGCGAATCTCTGCGGACATCTAGACGCTTCATGTTTTCTATTCCACCGGACCCCCGAAGGTGTGTAATTTTCTTCATTAAGCATCGTCCTTGTCACCCAGCCGAGTGATTGTTATTTCGATGGCCCTGTCTCCGGGCCAAGAGGGCGTGTTTTAGTGTCTTTGGAAAGGTGTATAGCTGATAGGGCAGGTTTAGCTCTTGTACTGCGACAGATGCAATTTTGGGCAGTGTGGTTGTATGGGCGATAGGTTGTCAAGCCCGAGTCGCCACGCTTCTAGTGTAACAATGTAAGTAGTGGTCACGCTTTGCATACAAATGTAACAAGTGTCGCAGTGTTCGAGGGTCCATTGGTTTTGTGTGAAATTACGAGGTCATGCTCTAGCCATGTTGGCTAGGCCCTCTCGTCAGCACATACCACAAAGCACAAATTTGCGTGGTTGATTTTTTGCCCAATGCTATGTTGAGAGCTGAGGCCTGGCATGGATGGGAGCCCCGAGTACTCCTGCCCGAACCGACTTTCGGTGGAATGGTGCTCGGGAAACTAGTGGTGTTGGCGTCCTCCCGGATGGACGAATAGGCGAATAGGCCAGCAGAGTCCTTAGTCCTGAAATACGCAGGGACACAAATTACGTGGCATCCCGGTAGGAGAGTAGACCCATTTTACCTTTCGACGTACAGAACGAAGACAGGAGGCTGCTGCTGTAGCGTGGCAGGTGGTGCGAGTATAAGGTGATCGTGAGACATCCCGGTATTTTTCTGCTGTAGACCCATTTTTCCTGTACAGAACGACGGCTGCTGTAGCGGGACAGGTGGTGCACGGGTAGGTTTTCGTGAGACACCGGCATCACCGTCAAGTGATAATACTACATGGACCCGGCCGGGGGCGAGTTGCTGCACCCTTTCGCTTGGAGTGCAAGCCTGTTCGGGGATGTAAGGCCGGCTTTGTTGGTCCGCTACATTTTGTCTAATTACTGGGGCTGTTTTTTCGTGTTGCCGTGGTACCGCCGGTCGCCCCGGTATCTCCTCGGGACCTTCTAGGGACCAGGTCAGAGGTTGGAATCCCGGCGAAAGCGAGTTTTTTCGTGCTCAAAGTGAGGGTTTTCTCTCTCGCGCTCCCGTTCCTGGCGGTGGAAAGCGATGCTAAATAGTTCGTGTGGAGTAGTTTTGAGGGCGGAGAGAGTGCTTCGCTTTTCTCGCATTGTATTATTGGAAGGCAAGCATCGCAGGGGTGGGTAGGGAGCCTCAGGGAGAGGAAACCTTTTTGTGAGGCCACGGATTGGAGCCACCCGGCAGAAAATGCTGTGAGCGCTGAAGAAAAAAAATATGGTTCGCAAATCGACGGGCCGGAACTGCTGTATTGAATCCGCGCGGAATTGGACACAAAAGTAAACATATAGTCTATCATACATACATACCATGTGGTATCGCGATGCAGTAGCCGCTCGCATCATGTGTAGTCTACTTGTTGCTGGAGACAACCCTCGGGTTCCGGAACGGATTAGTACACCCGGTGAAGGTACCGAGGGCAGCTATCTACGATGTCACCTGACGAATGATTACTTTTGTAGACTATAAACACACACACAGAAAGACTTTAGTTCCTACAGCAGTACACCGACACCTGGTGGGCTCTTCATGGTTGCCGTTGAGGAGACGGACGCTGTTGGGTTGTTGGAAGGGACGATCTCACCCCCCGCTGCCCCTTAGCGCTCAAGAATTACAACGGCAGACGTAGGGATACGAGGAAAAAGAGTGAGCAGGGAGGGGCGAGCACCACAGGGGCGAGCCTCCAACCTACCATGGGAAGGAAAGTAGAGAGAGCGACTTAAGATACGGACCATTGCTGTCGAGATGCGGCGCCATTTGTAGGATTCCCCCACAGGAATGTCGAGTTCAGCCAATCCTGTTATGGGTGGCACCTGGGTGGTCATGGGGTGGTCTCGGGTGTGGGTGTGTGGGTACAACTGGATACTTTCTCCCTCCCCTTTACCCTACCAAGCCTCCCTTTGCCCTACCAAGCTGAAGCACAAGCCACGAGTGAGCCTGCAGTATTCGGTGAGTAACACCTGGAAGGGCGGGTACCCTCGCTGCGTCGAATCCTGGGAGCCAAGCTCCCGGGAATGAAACATGATGATCGCATTTGGCGGTGTCCCTTTCCCGTTTGCGTCCTACATCCTGCCGGGGTATGTAGGAAGGAACGGCATATTGTTGTGTGTACTCATGATGAACAGTCGCACCGAGTGTGGCTGGTCATGCTGAGAGGTAGCATGGAGTCAGTCGCCCCGGATCGTGCACCTCGTTGTACCTTCTGGTTGGGGGTCTGCTGCGTTGAATTTATTTGGTGGTGCAGGCGTGTAGGCCTGCCGAACATAATAGACCACCGACGCTGTATTGTGTGTCTCCCCCCCATACGTTCTGCGCGCCAGCCTACACCTTTTCCGGGAAAACAAGATTGTAGCTTGTGTTTATCGCACATGCCGGGGTAACCCAGGAGGAAGGTAATCGCTGAAGTTTTGGTTTCGTTGTCCACCTTCCGCCCTCCGCCCTCGACTGAGATTCAAAATATTCTGACTTTTTTTTTGTCGCTACTCCAAAAACTGGCTCTCTCTTGGACTGCTTGGAGGAAAACCCCCAAAATATTCCGTCGGTGCACACAAGGACGGAAATTAAACACGCAGATATTTCGGCGGCAAGAAATATACGGCGGAAAAGGGAGTCCTTGTGTGGGGCTCACAGGGGTGGGGTCGTGGGTATATTGTGCATGGGTATCTGAACATGTCTCAGCAGGTGTACTGTAGCATAGTATGCCTTTCCTGACAGCAACCATCTGCAGAAGCGCAGAGAATGTATCGGTGTGCAGGCCATACGGTTGACACAAGACCTTCTCTGCTTCATCCCTGGATGAGGACTAATATGGCGCCCAGCAGAAGTCCCTCTTGGTGTCGATCGAATACTCCTAAGTAGACAGCACTTGCGGACGTCGAGACTGGAATCGGAGCTGGATCCCTCTTTTCCTATCAGGGTAAACTTGCAAACGGTAGATGGACGTCATTCCCCCCCAAATACTACAGGGAATTACACACCGCGCATCACGACAACAGCAGAGCACCGAGACAGCACCATTGCTCGATCACATCGGCTCCGGTCTGCATGTTGAGGCGTGCTTACAACCCACTCGCATTTTCCCGTTCGGATCTTTGGCAGTTCATTGGTTCTGGTTAGGGCAACCGTCCCAACACAAGATATTACAGCAGCAATAATGGGTATGGGAAATAGTACTGCACTGTGCAACACGGTGTGTGCATCTACATTGCCGATAAATAAAGCCAATGCCTTTTTGGAGGACTGTCTTTCTGTCTCTCTCTTGGTCTCGCAATATATATTTCTTTTTTCTACAGCGTTTGTTGTGCGATGCTGGCGTTTTTTGCGATGATCTGACGTGAGAAACAACAGCTTCGACGAAAATAGTAACAGTACATGTTGCGCAACACTCACAGCCCTGCTGCCGGCAGGGACCAACAATCCATGCAACAATATGTACAACGAGTCCACCGGTGGTAGATCTTTCAGCCGACTCCACGACCTGTCTATGAATACGGTATATTTCTGTTTATTATAGGTTTCTCCTTCTTTTCCTCGCCAAACCCATATCAAATTCAACCGTCGCAAACCAATATCTAACGGCTATTTGCAGGTCAACGGCCACACAATGGCCGAAGAGCCGGCGGGAGGGGTGCAAGCGGAGGGGGAGTCTCTGGAGCAGATGCTGGATGACGGACTCAATGAGATCCTGAACTCACACGAACCGTGCGCTACCCCGGCAGCGGGCGGTATGCAGGACACAGGTGAGATTTTTCTGAGATTTCATGCCTGCAGTACCGAGGTAAAGAGATACCAGAAGCCGTTAGGCTACATCATGAGCGGGCGTTTGGGTTGACCATGGACACCACTAGACTCTCTTCTCGTTTGGCTGTTGGTTTTGGCGGAAGAGTCTTTTAAAGAAAACTCGCACAGGTGGACATTAGCCACAACCCTGACCCTCTCACGTTATCGCCCCCTTGGTTCACTACGGTTTGATCGAGCAGGGGCTCGAGATGCGATGGACGATACAATGGCTGATGCGAAGCACTCCGTCCACACGCAGTCAGCACACTTCGCCGACATCTTCTTCTTCTACGCTTACGGTCAGAAAGCATCCACTCATCTCTCTGTTTTGCGTATATATTGACTCTGCATGGCTGAGACGGAGAGCTCCGGGATCGGCGGACGACAGAACGATTTCGGCGTACCTTGGACTACATGATTCTCCGAGAATTCAGCAAAATGCTGTCCTGATGCATGTGTGACGTGTTTGTGCCCACCCTGCAGGAAACACTCCGCCGACGGACCTTCTGCAGCATATCCCCCACGATGCTCAGCATGCAGAGATCCTCAGCCTCGGCTGTGGCGACCTTCGCGACTTCCTCTACTCGGTCCTTCTTCATGGGAGACGCGGAGTGAGCTGCGGGCACGTCCCACGCCGCTTTTCGTTCATGATGAACGATTGGGAGCCCGCGATCCACGCCAGGAACCTCATGCTGCTGCAGATGTTTCTCGACGCTCGGGATATTCTGGAGTCGTCGGGGTCGGCCACCAAGAAGAAGAGCGGCACGAAGAAATCATCATCCCGGGGGGGCAACTCTCGTGGCCATGGTTCGGGCCGCGGCTCGAGTGCCGCCGCCTTCGCCCAGAGGATCGGAGTGATCTACAGCTCGATGTACAATTCGTTCGTCGACGCGGAAGTGTTGGAGATGATCGAAAGCGTGGCTGGCAGGCTTGCAGCGGCGGCGGAATCTCCGAGCACTTGGGCCTCTGCCGAGCTCGGGCGACTCGTTCGGTTCGCGGACGATTGCAGCCAACAGCGTGTTCGCAAGATTCTGGCCGCGTACGCCGACGGGAGCCTGCAGCGCGAGGGCGCGGCTGCCCGCGTGAAGCGGGAGCGTGCTGCCGTCATCGGCACCTACTGCCCACCCAGGGACGACCTCAGCATCCACTCTCGGGCAATGGGCCTAGCGTCGTTTCGCCAAGGCGACTGCATGAATCCGTACGCTGAGATGAGACGTGAATGTAAGAAACGCGCAGCACTAAAGTGTGCTTTGTACTGTGAGGCCGCCTGGGCGTTGAAGGTCTGTGAGCACCAGTCCCTCCATGTTGTTTCGCACTATTAGTACTGTGGTTGATATGTTTTTGAGCTACACGGACATTTTGGGGCGTGGAGCTATGCACGCGTTCGGAATTCCGTGTGCTGAAGGCAACAATCCGGCAGGCGATTCTTTATCAGCCCTCGATGTCCGCTATCGTTGTTCCGGCCCCCGTCCAGTCCTGAAGAAAGGTGTTCTCGATCCTTTCCCATTGCTGCTGGAGGATGGGGCAGAATCCGGGAAGCGAAGAGGTAGCTTCGACCTCGTCAACCCTCTCCTGCTGGTGACGGAGACGAAAGGCATGGCCTACTCGCTGCACTACGCGGCGTTTCCTCTCGATGCCTTCCATACCGACGGTGAGATTTTCGAAGATGTTTTACATTTCCATCATTAAGGGCCATAAATTTTTGTCATTGGATGCGGAATGTCGTTGAAGAGCTGGCGATTGGTGAAAGGTACAACACAAACACCGCCACACCCTGTATTCTGATACTTCACCCCAAACCGTTGGCAACATTAACAGTCTGTTGGTGGAAGCTGCGGCCCGAGAACCTTCAAGGCGAGTTCGGTAAGGTTGCGCCCAAGGTCACCAAGCCCCAAGGCTTCAACTTGGCCGGCTCCGGGGCAACACAGGGCCCTTTCAGCTTTAAGCCTACCGCCAAAACCCAGCGTGATACGCAGAACGTCTGGTTCGTCACCGCTCTGGAAGAGCTCGCGCAGATGTGCGGCGCGTTCGTGCGGGCTACTGCGAAGCTGAGCATTACCATCCATGTCGGCGACGCCCTGAACTGCTGCGACGCGCTGCTGGCGGCGTCTGCGGCGCTTCCGTCGGTCCGGTCGAGAGAGGAGAACGGGGTCACAGCTCCGAAAGACGTGTTTCCGCCCGTCTTTTGTCAGCAAGGAACTCTGCAGCCGGTGCAGCTACGGGCGGACGCGCTCATGACGCCATCCGGATTCTTCGAGTTCGATGTCATCAACACGAGCAACCTGTCAGAGCATCTTGGTGGGTGATCGGGTAAAAATCTCAGCGCCGTTGTACTGCACTCCAGGAAGAGAGCTAGACATGGCCTTCAGGTGATTGGTGTGATCTGTTACAGGGGAAACACCACGCTGACGTCCTTTAATATCCAAGTCCATGTCCCAACGTGACAGGTGTGGTCAACCTGCTGGTGGCTGCGGCGCCGCTCTTGAAGACGACGGCGCATGCTGTCTTGCTCACGAGCTTCATGGCTGCTTTGCAAAACCTCTCTCTGTACAAAAACACGTCAGAATTCTACGAGAAGTATTTGTGCATGGGTTCCCAGGCCTCCTCACTTCTTCTAGGTGAGCCAACCGATTAGAAGTCAACGCAGGCCCTCCTGTGGATGGTTAGACGAACATGCTTGTGCGATGGATAGTTCATGTATCGTACAAGGCTGTTGGCGATTCACCTCAAGTTTGTTGAAACAACAGATCCTGCAGAACATGCTAAAAATGAGAGTATTCATTTCGTTGGCAGGCAATTCAGTCGAGAGGCTCTTTAGAAGCAGTGACGCGTTTGTTTTGCAGTCCCACTATTACCCATAAGATACATGATTAGGTCATAGTGTCAAATGCATCGACCAGTCCGCGACAGTGCTGCATGGAGGGCGACCACTTCCTCGAGCACGACGTAAGAAACTCTGGTTCTGGTGCGCGTAACGTTTGTCTTTCGGAACGTATCGCCCAACGTTCACCAACGGGTCCAAGAACTTCTACTCCGGTGGAGCCTTACAGATTGGTATAGCCTGTGCGATTTCGGGATTGATTGCTACAAAGTGCGCGGCGGTACGGGTGCTAAGCACGTATCAACATGGCACAACGTAAGCAGTGTTTTTCGTTTTCCTTGAAGCCCAATATGCACTCACGACCCGAGCCTGCGATTTCCGTGTAGGTGTCGTGCCAGCGTCAAGTCTTTCGTCGGTGGTGGGCCACCAGGATGCGAATGCAACTTTCTACGGGATGATAAATGTTGCGACGAAAACGTCGGCAGTTGGGCCTGGTGGGGCGCCGAGTCTCCTGCGGTTGGCCTGGAGGCGCCCCGCTCAAGCTTTCGCACAAGCAACCGTGGTGAGCTGGTGTTATCAGATCTGAAGGCTAGTGAGACATGCATTCTCCGACATTTAAGTTTCGGTCGTATCGTGTTATGTTGTATCAGGCATCCGAGCGAGGGTTTCATTCCTAAGAACTGGGGACCGGCCATTGCAATTTTCAAATCCAAGCGGCCCCGCAGATTGTGCCCCAGACTATTTTTCCCAGCTGGAGGAGCTCAGCTAGCAGGGCTAAAATCAGCGATGAATATCTGCGTCTGATTCTGCCATCACAAGCGCCCCCAAAAAGAAAAACTTGACCTCGTGCTTGGCGCTGTCTTTTTAGAGCTGAGTGAAAAATGCGAGCTCACAACGACAAACAACACGGAAACAGAAGAATGCGCCCATGCGAAACAATTGAAGTTCCCCGAGGAGAATACGACCTACGCCTACAGGAAGCGCATGTGTCCTGTGTACTTCGGTGCACGGATTGCTGATGTGTCTCGGCTCTCGGCTCACGTTGCCATGCTATCCTGTCTCACTGCTTCGCCCTTTCGATTTCCACTCTGGCGTATCTCTACACGATGTTGTCCCCTTTTCCGCTTCGCTAGGGGTCAAACCACCCGACCTAGCCAGTAGAGGGTATCCAGGCTTCCAACTGAAACGCTGAGACTATCGGTTGGATGGTACGTTCAAATGGGAAGAACCAAGGGCAATATTCGCATATTTGCCTCAGCTTGCCGCATTGAAGGGCAAAGTGCACTAACTAGGGCACATCAAACCTCACGGCCACCTCCCTCCGGGCTCGTCAAACCCTAATGATGTCCTCACCATGCCAAAGGCTAGGGCGGTTTGATTTTCGAACTATGTCAACGCTTCTCTCAACGCGTCATTGGTTGTTTCGCCGCGTGCGTCGCCACGAGCACGACCAGCACACGACAGGATCTTCACCGACCAACATCGATATTTCCCCGAGCGACTTCGTCAGCCTTGTACTTCCTGTGTACAAGGCGATGTTCGCCAACGTGGGCCTGCTCGGGTCGAGAGGGCGGGAAGAATCTATACGTGCGTTGACAACGCCCATGCATTACACGTCTGCGTCTTTCATTCGGCTCTTGGCGTTGGCTGGCCGACAACTGCGGCTCGACACCAGGCACTTCGAAGCAGCGCTAAAGGCGATGATAGTTGGCAGCGGCCTGATCATGGCTTCAAACATGATGCAGGAGCAGGTGAGCTTTGTTCGTTCCTTCGATTTCGCACGGTAAGGTGCGGGATCGGAGTTGTAGGTAGTGATGTCAACTCCGTGTGTTTAATATTTCTCCTTGCAGGAGCTTTGCGTCGGCGACGTTACTCCATACCAATACACCTGCAAGATATTAATCGTACCGCTCGCCTGTCCCTATCAGTTACCATCATAGCCCAAACTAGTTTTGACGTTGCTTTTCTCGCATTGAGAGAGATTTCAGAGTTTTTGAGTTCAGAATCACTTGCAATTTCAATATGCGACTTTGGCGTCCAGCATAGCATCAGCACTGGTACACTTTTGGCTGCTACCTTGCCGGAACACAGAGTTCCTGCCGTTCGCAAATATGTCGTCCGCAAAAACGTTTTAAAAAATTCCTGCTTGCACGGTTGCATTTCGTGGCGAAGTCAGCTCACACTCATCACTTTACCCGTGTCCCACTTCGTTCAGATGGCGTTGTTCCATGCGATGGATCTCATTCCCATCCGCCCATCCCCCAACGAGCCGGGCGCTCCGGTTGACACGCGTCGGGTGGTGCTACTTGTTCCGCACAGCGGGCTCATGCTCCTCCGCGCCTTCTCTCTCCCCGAGATATACTTGTCGCTGGCTGGGACACGGGGGACGTTTGACAACCACTTTTCCAGCCTCCACATGGGTTTCGTCCGGGTGCGTCGCGGCCGAAGCGGCGGTGGTAGCAGGGATGGGGGCAACGACAACGGCTGGCGTTCTCTCAGCGACCACCTGTGCGTGCGCGATACACAATCGGACGACCCTGCCGCGGAGCTCATGATTTCCGCCCTGGTTCCCTCTTTTGCTTTCTCTTTGGCGCCGCTGTCCGAGACTGAAGTGCGGCTTCGACCTCGAGACAGCGTTGAAATGATGAGGGCGCCCAAGGATGTCATGAACAAGATGGGGGGCATGCTGTGGAAGTGCTTCTTCAAAGCAAACCTGACCGACAAGGACAGGACGGCCATCCTTACTCCCGGCGGGGACGACCCGTTCGGCGAGAGCGGCGGCGGTTCCAGTATTGGTGTGCTTCTGGCCTGCCCAAAGACGGCTGTGACGGATCGGCTCCAGGAGGCTCCTTCCTCAACTGCATCGACCAAGTCCGAGCCGGCTTTGCTCCACCGCATCGTCGACGGCAAGTCGACCGTTGACCGCTCTGTCGAGTTGATCTGCAATGGCCCAGCCGGAAAGACGGGAGACGCCCGCTTCGTGTACAGAATCAAGTTCATCATGATCACCGACCTTGCGCGGGAGGCTCTGACTTCAGCGACCCCGGCGGTGGCGGAGTCACTCGACCCATGCTGCGTGCGTGTCACGCTCGGGAAGGGGCTACTCACGCTCGTGGCTCACCTTCCCTTTCCGGTCAACAGGAACGCCGTCGACATGAAGTTCAGCAGGCGCCAGGGTTTCGTTCTCTTCACCGTCCCGCCGCTCGGAGGTTCTCTCCACATCCCGTCGACGCTGACGGCGTGCGTTGCAGATGGAGGGGGCACGGTGCCATCGAACATTTGGTGGCCCCCATGCGCGCCCCTCTCTTCCCTACCAAGGCTGGACTTCAACGCCGAATGGTCGTTTGACAAGGTGAACGAGAGCGTCGACTAGATGCCCATGCCTTTTGGGGGCGTATGTTAGCGCGGTGTCGGAATCTATTCCCGGGTGACGACGCAAGCAAATAAACTTGTGCGTCATGCCGCCGTGGGTACGAACCACGATAGCGTGTGTCTTTTCTCCCGGGAAAGAATGCGGGTGGGCCACCCGTGGAATTAAATACAAACTGGTCATATATTGGGTCCCCAAAACTGAAAATCCCAGACAAAACACACCCACCCACCCACGCTATATGCACGTATGTCCGGATATTTCCAAGAAGGGAGTATTATCTCAACGTTCCGATACACGTCTCGAATTGCGGTGCAAGAAGCACTAGCTCAATACATGGTCCGAGGATATGTTATTCCCTTTTCGGAGAAGTACCATAACATGCATTGTCGTGACCCCCCCGCGGGAGGCGCGATGCCTTGGTTGGGGGACCGTGACCCCAGGGGCCAGGATAGCGGTACATAGCGACTTTTCCAGAAATATGGAATGTCCCTGGTTCTGAAGTCCCTCGGGCTTGTATTCCAACAAACAGCACACGATACAACTCTCAATTTGTTTCTCTTTCACACCCTCCAATTGGACCTCTGCCGCAACGTCGGACCGTATGAATGAACTACCGAGAGACTTATGGTCGTAGTCGACTCTCTTTGTTGATCATTTTAAGCCAGCGTACTCACGTCTCTGCTGTTTCGCGTGATATTCGGTGTTTGTTGACCGCAGGTGATGGGCGGGATGTCTTTCACCCACGAAGAGAAAGCCGCACGGAACGGTGTCTTCAAGCTTAACACTACTACAGTCGACGCTGCCCTCTTAGGACTAAAGGTGACACTGCTTACTGAGATATTCCGCCACCCGTTCTCGTGTTCATGATCTCGTGATGCATCCAACGAATCTTTGCAATGCAGGTTCCGCCGACGGTGGTGGTCGGCACTCTTGTAATGCAAGAGGCGCTAAGGTTGTATCAATGGTAAACGATATCGCCCCGTGGATTGAATGCGCTCGTCTCAGCTGTTGTTCTTGCCGTTTGCTGAGGTACACAAGAGTATTCCCCTGTATCCGCTCGTCACATTGGGTGGTTGTTGTTTTGTTCAATGTTTGATTGCATGGTTCGGTCGAGATTCTGGTAATCACGAAGGGTACATGTTTTCAACGGTACTTGCGCCCGCACGACAACTTGACAACCGATGCACGCCTAACCCGAGAATCGGCCGCCTTCGCCAGGAGAGTTTCCTGGCCATCATATCAACGGCCACCACGAGTCACACGGAAAATGGCAGGGGCTGGAACCGGTCATGGGCACTCGTTGCGGACCCCGACAACCACAGCGAGCCAGCGATCTGGATCTGGGTCAACGATCTACTCCTGGATTCCAGCAACGAGGCGCTAGTCATCGACTGCTGCGTTCTGCCCGTGGCGTCCGTGGGTGATGCGATCTCCCTCCAGCTTCAACGTTCCGCGCAGTTCGGATCCTCTGCCCAGGGTGGCCCATTTCTTACCTGCAAGGTGAAGTAGAGTCGGCGTGTGCTGGGGAACGCGCCGGGTCCTGTTGTGATTGACTGCAGCGCTTTGGTGGTCGATTCTAAGCCACCTGCTCAGTGTTTCATTTTTTCTCATCTCGTGATTCTGGTGTTGCCAAGTACTCTGTGCCTGAGCTCCGACTACCGTCCCTTGCGCTCGCGCAGCGTTACTTGTGTGCATGATTGAGATGTAGAGCGGCAGAGTCTCAGTTCACTTTTTACCGTCGCTAAAGGTCGTACACCTTCTACTCTGGACCAGGTGCTGGAGGAATGTTGCTAAGGAACACCACTTACAACGTTATTGACATCATTTGCCTCGCTTTGAGATTGCAGGCCGTCGGTATCGATGATCCGTCACAGGTCGACTCCCACACACTCGTCTGAGGAACCTCTCCCCACCCGTAAATTGTATTTCTTGCAGGCATACGCTGGAGAAATCAAGTTGTGGCTGTCTCTGCTTCCTGTGGCTGTGGAGCGTGCCCGCGAGTCGTACGCTCACGCAGAAGACTGTACCTACTCACGAACAAGTCATGATTCTGCTCCGGTTCTGTGCAAGTGCGGCATGGGGAAGGACCTACCCCCAGCGTTCGTGGAGGCTTTGAAATCCGGCAACGTCAACGGGGAGAAGTGTTTCTACAGGGCAGCTCTGTCTCCACTCTATGTCCCTCAAGGCATGGATGGCGTGTCACCGTTTCCGCCTTCAACGACAGCCCCCGCCCCTCAGCAGAAGAATTCGACCACGCAATCTTCCGCATCGCAGACAACCAATGCCTCGACATCTTCCACACCGCAGACGAAAACAAATCCCAGAATGACTGTCGCTTCTGGTTCAGCGGGGTGCTCCAACTGCGGAAAGGTTGGCTCTCTGAGGCCGTGCTCTCGCTGCCACCAGGTGCGCTACTGCTCGAGGGACTGCCAGCGCCAGCACTGGAGGGATCATAAGCGTGATTGTGGGTAAGGAGAGCTTTCGGTCGATAGATCGAAGCTTGCTTCATCAGGTGAAGTACGCAGGGACCGGTGGTGAAGTACGCAGGGCCCACGGTACAAGGCATCAGTTTGCGGATCGTACGCGGGAATTCCGTCTCTTCGGGATCAATGCGACGTTTTTGACCTCTACTTGGGTTGCTAGGTCTTCAGGCACGGTTGGATGTTGGAGGGGTGACGGCACCCTTTGTGAGAGAGGCTCATCCTCAAGTTATGCGAAACGTGCAATGTGCTGCGATATCCAGTGAATGCAGCCTACGAGAGCCGGGGCGGTGCTGATTCCCGAGTTGCTGATCTTTCGGCTAGACGGGAGCAGTGATGAGGCAGATGCTGAAGGATCGCACGAAGTCATGCTGGCGTGGTTTTGGATATTTCATTTCATACAAGGTTGGGTGGAGAGACTGCGGTCGCACAGCTTTCGCGGGAGGGGGCGGAAGAGATTCTGTGTTCCAATTTCTGCAGTCCGTTGACTGAAGCTTATCGGAACAAATTGCGGGTTGCAGCCTCGTGGTATTGTGAAAAAGCGTGGGACGGATGCACCAAGGGGCATATGCTTTACCGAGTTCGTCCAACTCGTTGGCGCGTGGCGGAGCTTTGACGCTTTCTCCCCCGTTTACCTGTGTGATTGGGAAGTACTCTTGAGCATAGTAGCGGCGCGTAGTGATGAAAGACTACAGCAGGACACCGTGTACCGCCGACATGATTTGTGAAATTGATGGTGTTCGCCCATTTATTTGATTGAGCGGCGCCCCCTCCTACACATCCCGGGCGCAGGTCGGATTCGCACGGCCAGCTACAACAACAGCCGTGCGATCAACACTCACTCGTTGGCTTCGTTGGCGTCCGAGAATAATATTAGCTGTGCGGTTTACTTGATGTCTCTCTGTTTTGAAGTGGTCCGTACACAGTCTACTGCTGTTCGTGATTCGCGTCCAGCTTCCGAATGATCGGAGCAACGAGCTTCTACAACTGTTTACATGTAACTTGCGCTACAGTATAGCGGTGCAATCAAGGCGCATATCAACTCAACCTGGCGAAGAGGTATGTATGTAGCTCGATTTCTACAGACATGTGCGGCATTGTCATCGTACTGTCAGCTAATGAGCAAAGCGTCATTGTATGCAGATGTGCACCATGTATAGGGTACGTATGACCTTTGTAACAAAAAACACATTTTTATGGTGGGTCATTGTATCCAATATTAATATTTAGTACCATGACTCATGGAGCAACACCGAAGAGGTATACCCAGAGATAATAACACCTTCGTCAGTCAAGACCGTCAAAGAGCACTCGACACCAATAATCTTCATGTCTTGGAACGGACCAACGTTACAATATTCCGACGTCGTCGAAGAGAGGAGAGGGAAAGGTGGAGCGTTGGACCAGCTGGTTGGAGCGTGAAGCGTGGAGGAGCGTGGAACGTTACAGGCTGGGCCAGCCAAGCTAACAAAATGGTTGAAAGCCAACTACACCACGATTTTTACGAGTTGGAACCTGAAATTTTGACATACATACATACATGTGGTTCGTATTACATGTAGTACAACACATACAACTGCTAGCCGCACTTGATATATTTGGTGTTTTTAAATGAGGTAGCCCTATTAAAGGAAAAATGGGAATTGAATCCTTTTGTTGTGTTTAGGAGGACCAAAAAAAAAAATTAACGGCTAGCAGTTGTATTGGTTTTAACAATACCAACCACATGTCAAAATTTCAGATCCCAACTCGTAAAAATCGTGATGTATTTTGCGATAACCTCACATGTCCTTGACTATCTTGTGTTTTGTATCGGATTCTTTTGGAGGCCGTAACTCTTGATGGAAGATGATGTGAGCCTTGCAACTACCATCATTTTTCTCGCGATGCTCCCAGGTATATAAGCGCACACCAAATTTCAGCTTATATTCTGTGAAACTTTTTTCATGCTGATTTCAGTACCGAAAGTTTCGCCCACTTCGCCGCCAATTGATCGTTTAATACCTAAATCAACTCGGATTCGAAAAATTCTGGCATCTACGTTTTCCCTATTGTCTCATAAGAGTAACCACCAAATTTCAAGCCTAATTTCGTGGAAACGACAGCATGAGACGCGAAATAACGAAAGTGAGCTTCTTGGCTGGCCCAGCTTGTAGAACCAAACCGTTCAACTGTTGGGAAAAGTTCGGATAATGCTTCGGAGTAAAGTAAGTACAGTTAAGTCGCCCCGCTGTTGTTCGGAACAGCATGTGGGAGCTGCCCTGCGCCGTGAGGTGAGAAAGAACACGGACAAGGGATACCTGTCCGCCCCCCGGTGTGCACGTCAGTTCCTCAGGTGTGCGGAGGTTTCTGGTTGGACATACTTGATGCTGCTCAGTGCGGTCGTGAGCATGGCAACTGGCTGACGTGACTGCTTCAACAGGACAGCGAGAGGGCGGGTTCCACACCAGCAAGCTGTATCGAGCCAACTGCCCGACGACCATCACGGCTGTAGCAACAGCAAGAGCAACAACAAACCCTCGCGCAAAATGAGGAGTCATCGAGGATGGGAAGTTCCTCAGAGCCCATCCTGCACGGGGACAGGAAGCCAGTCGCCCTCAGCTGTATTGAACGGACCGAGTGGGGCAGACACGGAGCAACATGCTGCTGATTTAGGACGCGCGAGATCGAGGAGAAAGGGAAGAGGGCTGGTGGTATCTGCACGAGCAGGAGCAGGAGAGGATAGGCCTTCGAAGGAAGAAGGGCAACGTTCGACCACAGCTACGAGTGAGAGAGACCCACCCAGGAAATGTTCTGTATAGGTTGGCGATGAACGGCATTCACGTTGTGCACCAATCAATCGCAATGAGTGCAGCACGGTGTTTACACGGGTCCTGTGTTTGTATCGACTCTAGACTATGTTTCGCCCGATTCGGCACTTTATTTCTCTCGCGGCAGCCAATATGTTCCCGCGTTTCCTTCTCAGGGACACGCACGGGGCTCCTCGGTGCATTACCGCGCATGCCCGAGGACCGTCAGACATCCGTGGCACGTGTAATCGACGCCGAAAGTCGCCGCGACCGGTTCCATTGCGAGGGGAGGCATGTCGACCCAAAACAGAGTTCGCAGGAATCCATACGCGCTTGCATTGTAAACAGGAACGCTTTTGATTCCTGCGGAGCACACACATACATTCCTACACACCTGCGCAGAATGGGTACAAATAAATGAGAGCGAGCAACCAAAGTCAGCGGGTTCAAGCAGTAGGATCTGCGGCAACGACGCCGCTATCTTAGCAGCATTGTTACACTCACGCACAAGCGAAAATGTTGTGCGTGGATTCTGAGTTTGTGCGGAAAACCGGCACTACCGGACTTTGAGATGCGTCCATGGACCATGTCCTCTTGCGTCGCCTCCTGGAGGAAAGTCACCAAACTCCCGAGGGGAGCCCTGTGCAGTGAAGGAAGTATAATAGCTATTTTAGAGAGCCTCGTGGGGGCCTTCCCGTACGAGCTGTAAATGTAGGGACAATGTACCTTTCACCATGAGCAAACTACACAATGCCTGCGTCCCGTGATACAACGATTCTGAACGGACAGGTGTGAATCTCGTGTCTTTTCCTTGTCAAACACGCCTTGACGGACTGCTGTATCAACTGCTGAATCGTGTTTGACTACAAGTTTTATTGTCGTTTGGACAATCGGCTCTACGGTATCTCCAATACCGACGCCACAGACGAGCCTGCATCCGTACCCCAAACTCAACGCCCTGGCGATTTTGGATGTCGCATGTGCTGCTGTTGCTGCTCCCCTCTCTGGAAATGGCAGCGGCGCCGGGGTTCACCCGACACTCGTTCTTGGCGGGGACAGAAGGGACGACCGTCACAAACGTCGCCGCTGCGCCAAGCCCGCCTTTGTCTCCAAGACCTTCTAGGCGCCGTGTCCATCACAGCAAGACACCGGGAACTCCCGCGGCTTCCCCGACTCCTACCGCCGCACGAAGACTCTCACGGAAGAACCCTCTGGCTGTTTGCCTGACCGTCGTATCCATCGCCGTCGCCGTCCTGCTCGTGATCCTGGCATTGGCCGCCTACGGCGGGCTCTGGCCCTGGCGAGATCTGTTCCCTTACAGAGGTGAGAGCGCTGCAGCGTGTCACAACCCAGTACGGCGACAATGCATCCAGAGTCGCGCGTGGTACCTTGAGTGACAGCCGTCGTGGCGGCGTTGTTCGCAACAGCAGTCTGTCTTTCTTTTTTGGGGGTCCTTCCCGCTGGTCACCTGCCCGGCAGGCCCGTGTTGAGGTTTTCCCCCACAAGGAGATGGAGAGCATACAGTGTGTGATGGCCGTTTAGTAAAGAGTGCCCCGCGGCGAGTCAAGACGCCGTGTTTTAGATTATACCACAAATTGGCTGCACCTACCGACTTGTAGTTACAAGATGTTGCGTTTTTACGAGGTTTTTCTTCGTTCCACTTCCCCGTAGTAGTCGGAAGCCGTTGCTCACGAGGGCCTACAATAACGTCCGCAATCTAATCCCTTCGAGCAAGCGGAGGACGAATGTTTGGTGGTGCCAAAAGTGATGGCACGAGCAATCCTCTTTTCTGATTTGCTTGGACGTCAAGTTGGACAGATCTCAACAAGCTCGGGTCCAGGGGTACAGTGTTGTCGTTCCTGGGTTTTCTCCGCGTGTTGCACACGTCTCCCGTTGAGCCAACGTCGAACTGCCGACTTTCTTGCCAATCTTATGTGCGGGAACACACTAAGCAGAACAGTCCAGCGAAAGCATTTCGTCGCGCCCTTGGCAGCTATTTGACGAAAGGATCGAACTGCACACACAGAAAAGCACCGGATCCGATTCCCGCGCGCAAGTCCTTCTTAATTCCACCTCCGCAAGGTATACCCGACCCCACCTGCCATCTCCTAATCTCCTTTGCCTTCCTGTCTACTTTCCGCCTGCCTTCGTCTTGCCCTCTGTTGTTGTCGCCGTTGTTGTTGTTGTCGCTGCTGTTGTTTTTTCCCTCTCTATCTTTCTTGAAAACGGGAAAGGGGAGCTGTTTCAACCCGACAGAGACTGTCGGCGGGTCAGCACAGGGGCCGAAGTAGCTTGCGGTAGCCCTTGGTCAGCTCCGTGCTTTGACCGCACCCGATGTCGTAGCGGCGGCGGCCGAAGTGGCCGTCGACGGGCAAGGGCTGCGCGAGGCAGGGGCGGCAGCACGCGCGGCGCCGGCGGTGGTGACTTGCTGTCCGTATACGTGCACGACGAGACGTGCTCCATGAGGAAGAGCTCGGAGATCATGGCCAGCTATCGGGGCGTGGCCGTGCCGCTCCTGTGGAACGAGGCGGCGAAGGCCCTTCGTCACGTCGCGGCAGAGAGGTATCCACACGTGTACAAGGTAGAAGGAAGCAACGAGGGGGAGGTGGTTTGCCGTGGTTGTCGGTGTGTAGGTAGAGGCACGTTACAACTTCGGTATCACACAAGCCAGCTCACCAATGTCACCAGAGTTTTTCATTTTCGACTCAAGAAGGGGGCGGGATCTGTCATCAGACATGGGGTACATGCAAGACGAAAGGGAACCTTTTTTTGGTACACATGATGAAAGAAGCCTTGACACAAGTCAAGATTGGGGCCACGTGCTGGAAGAACAACCGTTTCTCGAAA